ATCCTTTCCAGATCATTATGCAATAAAAATGACATGTAATAAAGGACCATGGAAATATAGAATAAAAATTAATAGGAAACTAAATAATCTTAGGATTAGATTTAGAATGAGTGGGTCAAACAACAAATCATAGAAACAATAAGTTCCTCTAAGAGATGGACAATAATGACACATCATAACTAAACTTATGGGATGCTGCAAAAGTGGTTATTAGAGGAAGTTTTATATGTCTAAAAGCTTACATAAATGAAATAGAGAAAAAGGAGATCAATGTATTGGGCATGCAACTTAAAAAGTTAGGAAAAGAAGAAATTAAATATCCCCAAATAAATACCAAATTAGAAATTCTGAAAATCAGAGTTTAATAAAATTGAAATTAAGAAAACTATTGAGCTAACAAATAAAACTATGAGCTGGTTTTATGAAAAAGCAATAAGATAGATGAAACTTTGGTAAATTTGATTTAAAAAAAAAAAGGAAAGAAGAAAACCAAACTACCAGTATCAAAAAGGAAAAGGGTGAAAAATGGACAAATCAAAAAAGAACCAAACCATCAAAATCTACTATGGTGACTATGGGAGCTCAACATAACAGACTCAGAAAAAGGTAATGACAAAAATAAAAGCAAGCCTCCAAAATATGACTGTACACAAATTCAACAAAACTTCCTAGAAGAGCTAAAGGAAAAGCAAGACAGTGCTTTCAATAATCAGAGTCTAGAGCAAAATTTAGGAAAAGAGAGTAATGCAAGAAAATTATAAATGACAAGTCACTACTTTGTAAATGAGGCACACAAAAAAATACTGAAGACAATAACTCATTAAAATATCATAACTGTCCAAATGGCAAATGAAACACAAAACCTCAGAGAAAACAAAAAAAGTTCTTAAAAATTTGGATTGGTCAGTTCAAAGCTAATGACTTTATGAGACGTCAAGAAACAATCAAACAGGGGGAGCTGGGTGGCGCAGTGGATAGAGCACCAGCCCTGGATTCAGGAGGGCCTGAGTTCAAATCTGACCTCAGACACATAACACTTACTAGCTGTGTGACCCTGGGCAAGTCACTTCACCCCACTGCCTAGCCAAAACAAATATATAGATTTTTTTTACAAAGTAGAGAAACAATAAAACATAGTCAGATAACTGAAAATATAGAAGAAAATGTCCAATATCTCACAGAAAAAAAACTGACTTGGAAAGCAGAGTGAGGAGAGATCATTTCGGGATCATTGCACTGCCTGATCAAGCAAAGAGCCTAAGCGTCGTTTTTCCCAGAAATTCTAAAGGAAAGCTGCCCGAATGCTGTGGAGTTAGAGGGAAAAGTTGGGATGGGCAGAATCTACCAATGACCTGCTGGGAAAGACCCACGGGTAAAGGCTTCCAGGGGTCTTCTAGGCACAACCAGGTCTCTCAGGCATAGTGACTAAGATCATCCAGCCTATGACAAGAGAGACTGAGGCAGAGCTCTGAGGCAATGTGAGCTCAGGGAAAGGCCCATGCGGTGACTGCGAACTTCAGGTCTTCCTCACAACCTGAGACGCCCCTCCCTCCAGGGCCGTGTTTTTATAGGGTCAGATATTGAAACACTCGAGAGCAGCTGTACCAAACACAGAAGAATGCCACTGGTCGACATTTGATGCCTAGACTAAAATAAGCAAAGCAACACATCAGGGTCACAGGCAAGGTAGGAAATGTTTCCGCCGACTAGGCGGTCCTAAGACAGACACCTGCTGTTGCTGGAAAAGACAGAATGGTCCGGAGCTACAAGAATAGTGGGGGACTTTCCATGTAGGTGAGCCACCTCCATCACACTGGACTTGGTTACCATGAGAAGGAAAAACAAAGGTGGAGGGGCAAATATACACAATTTATAATCATATCAAATTGATTGATACTGATTGGAATAGAGGAGGAGTCTTCAATGAATCAACTTCCTCACAGCTCAGGATCGCACAAGATATCATATAATCAAGGGATATAATGTTTGGAATATGATATTTTATAAAGCAAAGTACATAGGATTGCAACTCAGAATAACCTACTTAGCAAAATGGGTATAATTATACAGGATGGGAAAGTGACATTTAATGAAAGAGGACTTAAAAATTTTTTTTCTTCTCAATTCCATGTGAAAACAATTTTTAATACTTCCTTTTTAAAATTTTGAGCTCCAGATTCCTTCCCTTTCCTCCACACTCCTTGACAAGGCAAGCAATTTGAGGGAGATTATATCTCTGTCATCATGTGGAATATTTCCATTAGCTATGTTGCAAAAGAAAACCAAAACCAAAAAAAAAAAAATCTTGAATAATAAGGAAAATTTTGAAAGTATGCTTTGTTCTGCATTCACAGTCCATCAGTTCTTTCTGTGGAGATAGATAGCATTTTTTTTTCATCATAAGTCCTTAGGAATTGTCTTGGATCACTGTATTGCTCAGGATAGCTAAGTCATTCACAGGTGATTGTTATACGCCATTATACTTACTGTTTACAATGTTCCCTTTGTTCAGCTCACTTCACTTTCCATCAGTTCCTATAAATCTTTTTCTGAAACCATCCTGCTCATCATTTCTTATAGTATTCCATCACAATCTTATGCCACAATTTGTTTAGTTATTCTCCAATCATTAAACATCCTCTCAATTTCCAATTCTTTGCCATCACAAAAAGAGCTGGTATAAACATTTTTGTACTTCTAGGTCCCTTTTCTTTTCTTTGATCTCTTTGACATACATACCAATAATGGTATTGCTGGCTGGATCAAAGGGTATGCACAAATGTGATGCCCTTTTAGCAGAGTTTCAAACTGCACTCCATAATGGTTGGATCAGTTCACTACTACACCAACAGTGCATTAGTCCCCTTATTTTCCCACCTCTTCTCCAACACTTATCATTTTCCTTTTCTGCCATATTTGTGGAATATGACTTACATTGTCTGAGGCAATAAGTGTTTGTTAGATTTCTTGAACTGCTTTCTATCTCTTTTTATTCATTGTTATAAGGGATGATTCTTTGTATAGGGAAGGGAAAAATAAATTTGGACGGGAGAAGGCAATATAAAAATAAACATATCAATAACTTTTGAAAATACAACCTAGAATTTTGTCAGATAATAAAAGCACTCACAGAGCCTATGAGAATAGTTAGATAGCCTAGTCAATAGAGTGTCATATGAAAAAATGCTCTAAATCACTGTTGATTAGAGAAATGCAAATCAAAATGACTCTGAAGAACCACATCACACCTATCAGATTGGCTAACATGACAAAACAGGAAAATGATAAATGTTGGAGAAGATGTGGGAAAACTTGAACACTAATGTATTGCTGGTGGAGTTGTGAACTGATCCAACCACATTCTGGAGAAAAATTTGGAAGTATGCCCAAAGGGCTATAAAACTGTGCATACCACCTCTTGGTCTGTATTCCAAAGAGATTTAAAAAAATGGGAAAAAGACCCACATGTACAAAAGTATTCATAGCAGCTATTTTTGTGGTAGAAAAGAAATAGAAATTAAGGGGATGCCCATCCATTGGGGAATGGCTGAACAAGTTGTGGTATATGCATGTAATAGAATACTATTGTGCTATAAGAAATAATGAGTAGCAAAAAAAAAAAAAAAGATTAAAAACAACAAAAAAATTAAGAAATGATGAGTAGGTTCAGAAAAACCTGGAAAGCTTATCTGAAGTGATGGTGAGTGAAGTGAACAGACGCAGGAGAACACTGTACACAGTAACAGCCACATTGTGCTATGACTGACTTTGATAGACTTAGCTCTTCTCAGCAATGGAAGGAACTAAAATAACTCCAAAAGATTCATGATGGAAAATGCTATCCACAGCCAGAGAAAGAACTATGAAGTCTGAATGCATATGGAAGCATGCTGCTTGCTCTCCTTTTCTTTCGTTGTTTTGTTTTATTGCTTCATTCTCATGGTTCCTCCCATCAGTTCTAATTCTTCTTTACATCATGAGTAATGGGAAATATGCTTAATATGAATGTATAAGCAGAGCCTATATCACATTGCATGCTGTCTTGGGGAGGGGGAAAAAGAGGGAGGGAGAGAAAATTTAAAACTGAAAATCCTTATGAAAGTGAATGTTGAAAACTAAAAACAGATTATTTTTAAAAAAGAATTTTAAGAAAAGACAAAAGAAACAAGTAGCTTTGTGATCCAGGGCAAGTCATTTAACCTTCTTTAACGCTCAGTTTCCTCACCTGTAAAATGAGCTGGAGAAGGAAATGGCAAACAACTCCAGCATCTTTGCCAAGAACACCCCAAATGGGATTAGGAAGAATTGAACAGGGCTGAACAACAACACTGCACCTACATTTTCTTGATTCTGTTCTCTTCTGGTTTTTGAAAACTGGTTCACTTCTGTTTCTCCTGTTTTATTGAGCCCATCTAAGCAAACGACTGGCGTTCCCCAGGCACAGCTAAACGCTCTCCACGTCTCCTGGACGCAAAGGGAGCTCGGCCCGGCTCTGCTTCTCCCCGTGTCCTTGATCCTCGTCCCACGGACCCCACACAGGGCCCGGCCCTTCTGTGATCCTCGGCTTTTCCCCGACATCGCCTTCCCACAACAGCCCAGGCCAAAACAAAGCCTTCCGTCGTCCCGCGGTCCCAGCTGGTGGCCCGAGCCCCTTTGACCTCTCCTGCCGTCCCGGGCCAACTCGTGTCCTGCTCCTCCTGGAAGCACCAGGGGGCAGAGCGAGCCCTCCTGACATACAGCCTCAGCCCGTGGTTTCCCTCCTTAGAGCCCAGGCTTCCCTGCGTGCTCGCGTCATTTCCTGCGGGAAGATTCTGGTGCACAAAAACATTTCGTTAGAGTTCGGCCTGTTGTGATTGGCTGCCGGAGTGGGATACACTGTGGGCTAGACTAGCCTCGGAGGAGCCCCAGGGCCCCTCGAGGTGTGGGACCCCACGCCTGGTGACTCTCCGTGGGCTCTTGGGATGTGAAGATCACGCATGAAGTAAGAGGAGGAGTGGAGGGGGCGGGGCTCCTGTCAGGAAGGGCCGGGAAGGGAGGGGCAGGCAGGAAGGCAGGATCACATTCCTAGCCAGGGGAGGGGCCGAGTACAGGCATGCGCAGAAGGCGCCTCACCCTTCAGACTACGATTCCCAGAAGGCGGTGCTCGCCTCAGGGGCATTTTCCTAACCTCAAGCAAGAGATGACTGGAGTTCCTTCTTACTATCACACTTCCGCTTCCTTTTCTCCCCACCTCTTCCACGCTTCCTCGTTCCCGCTTCCCCTTCTCTGTCCTGAGGTGAAGTGTGACGGGGTGAGCGGAGGCTGAGAGCGGGGCCTGAGAGCGGGGCCAGGCCCAGGTGGAGCCGGTGCGGGGGTGCGACGGAGTCGAAGCACCGGGGACGGGCTGGGAACCTCACGGATAATGGGAGGAGCGTCCGGTAGAGGAGGAAGGAAGTCCCCCAGGGGCTCCCAGGCGTCGGGGTGCGGCCCGTGCGTCGGGCGGGGTGGGGTTGGAGGCGGAGCCTGGGGGCGGGTTCTAATTCTCCTTCAGTCACGCCCCCAGCCCCTGCCCCCCTGCCTGATCTCCCCAGGGTGGAGAAGTGGGAGCGTCTGGTCTGAGCGGGGCAGACCCCAGCGAGACCCCTCATTCTCCTGCTTCTCCTTTCCTCCTCAGCTCTCCCTTCTGTGGCCTCTGCTCTGCCCCAGGAGGACAGCCTGGAGGAAGAGGGAATGGCTCCTGCCCTGACTGCCAGGCCCGGGAAGGTGAGTGCCACTTGCTGCTTTCCTCAAATAGCATTTCGGGCGAGAGACGATGGGATAGATTTCTTTGTCCTGTGCTGTAACACTAGAAATCGTGGGCATCAGAGAATCATATAACTACAGACACCACTGTATCCTCTCCACACTGAAAAAAAGAAAAAAGGCCTTACAGTTACTTCGTGCTTTTTTTTAAATTTTGAGTTCTAAATCCTTTCCCACCTTGTCCAGTCCTTCTCCCACCCTTTGAGAAGGGAAACAATAGGATAGCCATTATGCCTGTACAGTAATGCAGAACACTTCTACATTAACCCTGGTTTGAAAAAAAATTTAAGAAAAATGAAAGTGAAAAAGAATGTGCTTTAGTCCTCACTCAAAGTGCATCAGTTCTCTCCATTTTGTATAATGGGTCCTTTAAACTTTTAGAGGGTCATTGTATTCATCAGAGTGGCTGAGTCTTTCACAGTTGATCATTACCGCTGCTGCTGTGCTCAGTCTTCCTATTTCTTGTCACTTTTCACATTTATTGGCGTTATTTAAAATTCATGGGATAAAAAGCATTTTCACAACATAGAATAAAAACGAATTACATATGAAATTGCAAATCTGTTATGTTCAGCTTGTTATTCCCTTTAAATGTATTACAAAGTTACCATGTGAATATATTTTTTTCTCCCTCCTCCCCACTATGGCTACCATTAGACACAAGTAGGAGCATCTGTGTGTTTGTGTGTATCCCTGTATGTATATATGTGTATGTAAAATTATTCTATACATCCTTTAATTTTCAGTTCTTTCTCTGGATGCAGATAATGTCTTCATATGTCCTTCATAGTTAATTTAGGTATTTATAGTAATCAAAATAACTTATTCAAATTCGTTTTTAAAACAATATTGCTATTAGTATATACAATGTTCCCTTGGTTCTGTGTAAGTCGTTCTAAGGTCATTGAGCTCATCATTTCTTATAGTACAATAATATTGCATCATAATCGTATACCACAACTTGTTCAGCCATTCCCCACTTGTTGGGCATCCCTGAAATTTCCAGTTCTTTGCCACTAGAAAGAGAGCTGCTATAAACATTTGAGAACATATGGGTTCTTTTCTTTTTTACTCATCATCTTTGGAAATAGATCTAGTATTGGTTTAATGCCTTTTTGGGCAAAATTCCAAGTTGCTGTCCAATATGGTTGGATCAGTTGACAATTCCACCAAGAATGAATTAGTGTCCCAGTTTTTCCACATCCCTTCCCAATATTTGTAGCTTTCCCTGTCTATCATTTCAGCCAAGCTGATAGATAGAAAATGATATCTCAAGGTTGTTTTCATTTTCATTTCTCTAATCAATTATGATTTAGAGCATTTTTTCTCGTGACTATACATTGTTTTGATTGCTTTGTTAAAAAACTGCTTGTTCACAACGTTTGGCCACTTATCAATGAAGGAATGATTTGTATTACAGATTTCACAAAGTTCTTTATGTATTTTAGATATAAGACCTTTATCTAAAAACTGTCTAGAGAATATTTTTTGCAGTTTTCTGCTTTCCCTCTGATCTTGGCAACATTTGTTTCATTTCTACAAAACCTTTTAAAGTTAATTTAATGTAAGCTGGAGCCAAGATGGCGGTGTAAAAAAGGCAGGGACTCCCCTGAGCTCCCCCCCAATACCTTTAATAATTATTCTAAACAAATTCTAGAGAAGTGGAACCCAGAAAAAGTCAGAGTGAAACAATTTTCTATCACAAGACAACTTAAAAGGTTGTCAGGAAAGGTTTGTTGCACCAAGGTGAGAGAGTAGTGCAGTCCTACACAGGTTGTACCAATGCAACCTGGGCCCAGGAAACTGGAAGCAGACCTTGGGGCGACTGAATTACTGGCAGCAGTGGTGGTTTCCAGACCTCTCAGCCTAGAGATGCCAAAAAACAACTTAGAAGGTCAGCAGGAAAGGTCTCTTGCACCTTGGTGGGAGTGGAGCACAGGAGTGAGTACAGCCCCATTCTGACCATAGAAAATTACTATGGTGACAAGGAAGATCAAAACACACATTCAGAAAAAAAAAAGTCAAAGCTCCTACATCCAAAGCCTACAAGAAAAATATTAATTGGTGTCAGGCAGTGAAAGAGCTTAAAAAACATTTTGAAAATCAAGTAAGCAGAGGGAAATGAGAGTGATGCAAGAAAGTCATGAAAAATGAGTGAACAGCTTGGTAAATGAGACACAAAAAAATGTTAAAGAAAATAACTCCATAAAAACAGAGTAGGCCAAATGGGAAAAGACAGGAAAATCCACAGGAAAAAAATCCTCTCCATATTTTCTCCACAAACAGATGGAAAATTGCCATTAAACGAATAGAGAGCAGCAGAAATAAAGGGGTAAAGCAGTTGTTCTCCTAAGAAAACTTGAGATGACCTTAGAAAAGAGAGGCCCTCCAAGGGCTGAGTCTTTGGGTAACTGAAGGGTAGTCACTTCCAGGCTGACTTCACTGAATCAACAAAGAATAAACCCTGGATCAGCTCTGTCAGGAAGCAAGCTATGCCTCCAGAAATTTTACCTCACAAACTTGCACCTCAAACTTTTGCCTGGGCCCAGCAGATGGGTGAGTGTAGGAAGATTGAAAAACCCTCCAGGCCCCTCCCTCTGTTTCCCGAAGCCAGATGTAGCAGAGCTGACCAAAAGTTATCTGGGGTTGTAGCTGTTAGTGAAAAGTGAGCACATACCTGGTGAGTGCAGTACCACAGGGAGGAAGAACATTTTGGGGGCAGAATGGCTAGAGGCCTGAACTGTTGTTTAAGGGAGGAAGGAGTCCCTGAGGTTGAGCCTTCCACGAATTCAGAAAATAACAGTAAGCATGACTTGAGGTAGGCATTACCCAGAACTTGGGGATTAAAACTTGATTATAATAAAATGCTGAAAATCAAAATAAGCAAGCAGAGAAAGAACCCAATTGTTGATAGATACTTTCATGATAAACAGTATCTGGGTTCATATTCTGAGAAAAACAGTGAGGTAAAAAAAGCCACTGCTGTCCCAGAAAATAATGTTAAATGGTCACTAGCCGAAAAAGAACTCTTGATTGAACTTAAAATGGAACTCAAAAATTAAATGAGAGAGATTGAGAAAAAATTAGGAAAAACAATAAAAGCAATTGAGGAAATTATGAAAAGGAAGTTACCCAATTGGAGAAAGAGTTATAAACTCTTTTGAAAATTGTATTTTATTTTTCCACTTAATAGTATTTTATTTTTTCTAATTTCAGGTAAGGATACTTTTCTACATTCACTTTTGATTTTGAGTTAACAAATTTTTTTTTTCCCTCCTAGCCTTTCCTTCCCTTTCTCCTAGGTGGTAAGCAGTCATATATTGGTTCCACATATACACTCATATTAAACATAATTGTTGTGAAAAAAGAATCAGAACAGGCTTGAAAAAGCCACAAGAAAACAAAATAAGAAACAAAAAAAAGTGGAAATAGTATGCTTGCTCTGAATTCAGTCTCCATAGTAATTTGTTTGGAGGTAGATAGCATTTCCCCTCATGAGTCTTTTGGAATTTTCTTAGATCATTGTGTTGCTGAGAAGAGCCAAGTCTGTCAAAGTTCATCATTACACAATTTTGCTGTTACTGTGTATAATGTTCTTCTGGTTCTGTTCACTTCTCTCAGCATCAGTTCACATAAGTCTTCCCCTGTTTGTCTGAAACGTGCCTGCCCATTGTTTATTATACCACAATTGTCTTGTATTATATTCATGTACCACAACTTGTTCAGCCATTCCCTAAATGATAGGCATCCTTTCAATTTCCAATTCTTTTCCTCCAGAAAAAGAGCTGCTATAAATGTTTTTTGTACAGGTGGGTTCTTTTCCCTTTCTTATAATCTCTTTGGGATACAGACCTAGTAATGGTATTGCTGGATTAATTCACAAATCCATCAGTTCTTCTTGGGCTTTTGTCTAAACTGCATGTTTCTTTGAGGCTTGGTTATAGATTTTTTTGGTTGTTTTCTTCTAATAAATTCAGCATGTGACTTTTAAAACTGTCCTCTTTTTCTTTTTCAACTTCCTTCTCTTCTCTTCTGTGCATCTTTTTCTTTTTTTCTGACAACACTATCTCTAGCTCTCTTCCTTTTAAATCCTACCCTCTCCTTGCACCTCCAGTAAAAAAGAAAAACACAATGCATTTGTAGCCAGTAAGCATAGTCATGTAAAATAAATAAACAAGTTTGTCACCACTTTTCTGTCCAGATTTATGTATCATGTTTCATCATTAGTTCTCTGGAATCATGGCTGATCATTGAATGGTATTGTCAATTTGTAAATTGTTTTCTTAGTTCTGCTATTTTCTCCCTTCATTGCTTTATGCAAGTCTTCATATTTTCTTTGAAAGTATCATTTTCATGATTTCTTGTGGGAAAATAATATTTCATTTCATGAAATGGTCAGATATTTTCCAGTTGATGGGTATGACTTTGTTCCTAATACTTTGCTATAACAGAAAGGACTGTTAGAAATATTTTTGTCCTTATGAGTCCTTTTCCATTTTGTGTTTTTGATGCCTTTGGGAGTATAGACCTACTATTGCTTTGGCAAGGTCAAAGAAAACACACTGAGTAGTTTTTTGGCATCATTCTGAATTGCTTCCTATAGTGGCTCTGTGAATTGACAGCTGTACCGGCATAAGTGACACTTAACAATAAAAGAGAAAAACAACTACATCAATTAATTGGACATGAAATTCAGTAAGTCAATAGTCAGCAAACGTTTATGAAGCTCCTATTATATGCCATGGGGTGTAATATAATAATATATATAATACACAATAATATTATATAATAATAACAGGGCATCAAGGTCAACTACAATGGTGATAGTGAATTCTGCAACTTCAAAGGGCTGCATATCACAGCCAAAGTGGAGGGAATGTTGGTGTGTGATTTTGTATTTTCAGATTATTGTGCCCTCAGTGAAGCCTCTGAAGATGAGATTTAACAAAGTATGAATCGATTCTCTTCTGTTTGTGTTAATTTTAGCCTAACGGTTAACACCAAGAAAACAGTGTTCCATCAGCGAGCACCACACCATTGATATGTGGAACCTTCAATTACAGCAAATGGAGAAGTTTTGAATGCTGTGGATCAGTTCACTTCCCTTGGCAGTACATTTTCTAGGGATGTACACATTGATAAAGAAAGGGAATAGTAACATTGTACATTAAGAATAGCCATGGATTTGAAGCCAGGAGGGCCTGCGCTCAAAATGTAGATCCACCATTTACTCCCCTTTTGACCTTAAGCAAGTCAGCTTTCCCTCTTGAGGGCCTCACTTCCTGAATTTGTAATGGCAAGTAGTTTATATTTGAACTTCAAAACAGTTAAGAGCTATAGCTGGGTAAGCACAAATGTTTTTGGTATTTCAGGAATCAGTGACATTCAAGGATGTGGCTGTGGAATTCACCCAGGAAGAGTGGGTACAATTGAACCCATCTCAGAAAAAATTGTACAGGGATGTGATGCTGGAGAACTATAGGAACCTGGTGTCTTTGGGTAAGAACAGCTACCCCTTTGGAGTCTTGATATATACTATGAGAGCAAGATTTTAACAACTGTTCTTTGGCATACAAAAGGAAACTCTTCCTAATCCATTTGTAGCCAAGAGACAGATTACTTGTGCTAGCTGTTTCCAGCAAAAAGATCCAAGCTTAGTATGCCTGGAAACTGATTTCTTAATTTGTTGTTATCCTTGAGAATGTATGCTCCCCTCTCTCTTACCTCAAATCTAAGATATTCTTTTTAATCCCAATGTAGGGTTCATCATGCAGTGTTGCCACTGCCTAAGCACTCAGTGAGTCAAATAAACTATATTTTCCCAAGTCCTACTCAGTAATGCATTTTACCATACTACAGAATATCCTTCCAGTGATTTTTTCTGCTATCCTTGAGATCTTCCTAGCATGCCTCCTTTTTCTCCAAAGAGAGTTTGAACTTGTTTTGAATTCTTTTATTAAGTTTTGTGGATACTTTTCGAAAAAAAAAATTAATTTCTCCTTCCCTGCCACCTAAAAAAAAACAATAAAAAGAAAGAAAAAATCCTACTTCTCCCTCCATCCAACCCATTGAGCCCCCCATGATTGAAGAAAAAAAACTCAGGCAAAATCAGCTAACATAGTGTTCTTGGGGATATAAGATATATCCAGCACCCTTAGTTCCCCACCTTTCTACTAAAGTTGGAGGGAGTATTTCAGCTATCTGTTCAATGATGAAACTCGATATGAGGTGACTGCCTACCACTTTTTTATTTTCAATGAACAGGATTTGCAGTTTCCAAACCAAATGTGATTTACCAGTTGGAAAGAAAGGAAGCGTCTTCCTTGCCAGAGACAGATATTCCAAGAAGCAGCTGTCCAGGTGACTACATAAAACCAAGCAGATGAGTCATTGCAAACTGGCAATCTGTTGGTCATTTTAGGTCAAAGCTCTAGAAAAACATTGAACAAAGTGGTCTATCAAAGCTCCTAAGGGCTCTTGAGAGGAGTTGAGACTTTTAATGTCATTTTTTTACCTCAAGAAGTTACTTTTTAATATTTCTCTTTACTGAAATGTACCTCTACTCTCAAAATTGTTGCCTCAGTTCAGGGCAGTTATATCCCTTGTGTTCATTCAAGATTATCTTAGTTCTCCTGCCTCACTTGCATGAATTCATTCTATTAAAATAAGCCCATTATTTAAAGTATTAAGTAGTGTGCTCTTTTTTCCTTGTGAGTTCTTTCCTGATATTTTCTTCTGTTTTCTGTTTATATTTATATTGCTTTGTTGCTACTTTTAAAAATAATCCTAACCTAATTCCCCTTTCTTCAAGCTATCATGTTATGTGTCATCCTGTTTTTTTCTTTATACTTTGAAATTATGTTTATAAAGGGAAAGTAATATGTTCATATCACAGGACTTGTAAAGTGATATGACCATCATTGGACCTACAGATTTTCATAATTTTGTTATATTTTTTTTAAAGAATATGTTTTTTTAAGCAATAAGGTTAAGGGACTTTCCAAGGGTCACACAGCTGGAACATGTCACTTGTTTGGTCTGGGGTTAGATTTGAACTCTGGTCCCTCCTGACTTCAGGGCCAGTGCTCTATTCACTCTGCCACCTAGCTGCCCTATATTATTTTGCTCTTTCACAAAAAGTTCTTGTGAAAATTTACTGAGTGCTTTCTTTGCTTTCAGTAATATATTGAGGATGTAGACCTACTACTGGGGCCATTGGGTGAAAGGGTATGAACAGTTTTGTAGCTCTAGCTGAAATTCCTATCTTTTAAGAAAAATGGCAGCAGCAGCAACTTAATAAATAGCTATTTCAACATAATTCCCAAAATTTATCATTTTAAAGTATCTTGATAATCTGAAGGCTATTTATTGCTACCCCCAAATTGTTTTCATTTTTGCTTTTTTGATTACCAGAGTTTGAGTAATGTTTCAGGTAATTATTAGTAATTTCTCTTGTGAAAAACACCATATATCTTCATCTCACAAATTTCAATCAATTCCTTACAAAGCAGATATGTTAGATTTTTACAGGAAATTTATAGCAACAGTTGTCATGTTTTCAACCCCATATTTCTTTATTCTGTTTACTTCCTTCTATTTCTCTTCTTCTCTCTAAAGTTAATTCTCTATTATCTTTCTCTTCAGTCTTTTCCCTTCCTATTTGCTCCTCAGAGGGTAAGGATACATTTGCAAATTCTCAAAGTCATCTGTTTGTTTTTTTCTCTGAATAGTCTTTTCCATTCAAATGTCAGCCAATGAAAGTAGAGTAAGGGTTCATTCATCTCCATTGTTACTTTCATCTTATGTCAATTCATTTACATGTGAACTTTGAGTCATCATACTTTCACGTAAGATAAACTGATCTTTAGTGGAAGACTAGTGAGAATAGCCTTCTCAAGTGAAAAGGCAAGAGAATGGCTCTAAAACCTTTCAACAAGTAAGAACCTTGGGAAAGGGTAAAAAAGGCAGGGTTAATCAGCTCTGTATTCTTCCTTTCAGAGAGCATAGAATTTGGTGGTGATAAACCTCTTCAATGTAATGGATATGGGAATGCCTTCTGGAGCAAGGAGCATCATGCTGTGTGTCAGATAATCCATACTGGAGATAATCCTTATGAATGTAGTGAATGTAGGAAGGCCTTCAGTTTTAACATACAACTTAAACTGCATCAGAGACTTCATACTGGAGAAAAACCTTACAAATGTAGTAAATGTGGGAAAGCCTTCAGGATTACATCAGAGCTTACTGCGCATCAGAGAATTCATACTGGAGAGATGCTTTATGAATGTAAGGAGTGTGGGAAGGCTTTCCCCTACAATTCATATCTTATTCGACATGAAAAAATTCATACTGGAGAGAAACCTTATGAATGTAATGAATGTGGGAGAGCCTTCAGGATTAAGTCAGAGCTTACTGTGCATCAGAGAATTCATACTGGAGAGAAGCTTTATAAATGTAAGGAGTGTGGGAAGGCTTTCCCCTATAACTCATATCTCATTAAACATCAAAACATTCATACTGGAGAGAAACCTTATGAATGTAGTGAATGTAGGAAGGCCTTTAGGAGTAAGAAACAACTTATAGTGCATCAGAGAATTCATACTGGAGAGAAACCTTATGAATGTAGTGAATGTGGGAAGGGCTTCAAGAGTAAATCAGAGCTTACTGTGCATCAGAGTATTCATACTGGAGAGAAACCATATGAATGTAGTGAATGTGGAAAGGCCTTCAGGATTAAGAAACAACTTACAATGCATCAGAGAGTTCACACTGGAGAGAAACCTTACGAATGTAGTGAATGTGGAAAGGCCTTTAAGAATAAGCGAAATCACACTGTGCACCAGAAAATTCATACTGGAGAGAAACCTTATGAATGTAGTGAATGTGGAAAGTCCTTCAGGAATAAGGGAAATCATACTGTACATCAGAGAATTCATACTGGAGAGAAACCTTATGAATGTAGTGAATGTGGGAAGGCCTTCAGGAGTAAGTCAGAACTTAGTGTTCATCAGAAAATTCATACTGAAGAGAAACCTTATGAATGTAATGAATGTGGAAAGGCCTTCAGGAATAAGGGAAATCATGCTGTGCATCAGAGAATTCATACTGGAGAGAAGCCTTATGAATGTAGTGAATGTGGAAAGACTTTCAGGAGTAAAGATCATGTTATAGTGCATCAGAGAGTTCATACTGGAGAGAAACCTTATGAATGTAGTGAATGTGGGAAGACCTTCAGGAGTAAGGATCATCTTATAGTGCATCAGAGAATTCATACTGGAGAGAAACCTTATGAATGTGGTGAATGTAAAAGGGCCTTTAGGAGTAAGGAACAACTTAAAGTGCATCAGAGAGTTCATACTGGAGAAGAGAAACCTTTTGAATGTAGTGAATGTGGGAAGCCCTTCAGGAAAAAGTTTGAGCTTGCTGTGCATCGGAGAATTCACACTGGAGAGAAACCTTATGAATGTAGTGCATGTGGAAAGGACTTCAGGATTAAGAAACGACTTATAATGCATGAGAGAATTCATACTGGAGAGAAACCTTATGCATGTATTGGATGTGGGAAGGCTTTCAGGAGTAACTCACAAGTTAAAGTGCACCAGAGAATTCACACTGGTGAGAAACCTTGCACATGTAGTGAATGTGGGAAGGCCTTCATCTGTAACTCAAAACTTACAGTGCATCAGAGAATTCATACTGGAGAGAAACCTTATGAATGTCGTGAATGTGGAAAGTCCTTCACAAGAAAGGTACATCTTAACGTGCATCAGCAAATTCATATTGGTGACTTTCTTTTTGAATGTAAGGAGTGTGGGAAGGGTTTCCCATACAACTCAGAACTTATTCGACATCAAGTAATTCATACTGGAGAGAAACGTTATCAATGCATTGTATGTGGGAAGGCCTTCTTGAGGAAGGCATATCTTACTAGGCATCACAGAACTCATACTAGAGAAAAAAATGATATGATTGGGCTTACAGAAGCGCAGCAGAAGGAGGTGAAAAACAAGTATATCATCCTTATAGCTCAGAACATGTCCAATAATCACGGGTCACAGTCTGTATCGTGAGTGAGGAGTCATACCTCCTTCCCTCCCTCAATCCGTCATTTATGCCCTGCTAGATAGGAGCGGGAGAAGAAATTGTACAGCATATGAGCAAGAGGAGTTAGGAACATGTAAGAGTCCTTGGTACCATGGGCAGATGGACAAAGAATGTGGCAGAAATGATTTAGCATGAAGATGATGGGAGACAGTGCTAAGGTGACATGGTAAAGGAACAGAAGATAGTGGAAGAAGTGTTTGTGCAATACAGCTTCTTTGACAGATTCACATTGATGGACCACTCCCAATGTTCATATGGAGTATTTGTATCTGACTTGTTTTAGTGTTCTGAGCTCATATTGGTCTGTTCAGCCACAGATGGGCACACTGTACTTTGACCCAGACATAGTGATGTCATTTTGGTCCTCTTTGAGCACAAAGGACAACCACCACCACACTGATGCCATCCCAAGGTGAAGAGGCTGTTATAGTGTATGTAGTATACGATGTTGTTCTTTGCTTAGTTTCCAGCACACTATTTATTTTCCAGCTTTCTCAGCAGTTGTTGTCAAATAGTGAGTTCTTATCCCAGAAGCTGGAGTCTTTGGGTTTATCATAGTAGATTACTATAGTCAATGACTACTGTGTCTTGTGTACCTAATCCATTCCACTCAATCTACCTGCCAAGACAAACCCAGGAACTATATGAATACAATTACAAAACAGTTTTCACACAAATAAAGTCATATCTAAATAGTTGGAAAAATAGCAATTGCCCCTGGGTAGGCTGAGCTAATATAAAAGAAATGACAATTTGACCTAAATTAATTTACTGATGCCATCCCAATCAAACTACCAAAAAATTATAGAGCCAGTATTTCAGGAGGATTAATGAAAAATATTGCAAAGGAAGGTGGCCTCGCCTTAGGAGATCTAGAACTATATTATAAAGTGGCAATTATCAAAGATTTGGTTGTGGCTAGGAAGTAAAGTGGTGGATCAGCCAAATAACGTCAAAATTGTGAAATGATTTAGACATAAATGGTAATACCATCGGCAAACCAGGATAGCAAGGAATAGTTTATGGAGAAGGGAAGAATTTGTGACCAAACAAAAGGTAGAGAACATTATGAAATGCAAAAATGATAACTTTGATTACTTAAAATTTTTGTAGAAAGCCAATGCAAGGAAGATTAGAAGGAAAGCAGAAAATGGGAAACAAATTTTTACTGCAAGTGTTTCTGATAATGGTCTCATTTCTCTAATATATAGAGAACTGAGTCAAATTTGTAAGAATAGAATTCATTCCCAAAAATGATAAATGGTTAAAGGATATGAACAGGCTATTTTTAGCTGAAGAAATTAAAGCTATCTATAGTCATATGAAAAAATACTTTAAACCACTATTGATTGGAGAAATGCATATTAACACAACTCTGAGGCACCACATCACACCTATGAGATTGGCTAATATGACAGAAAAGGAAAATGATAGATATAGGAAAATTGAAACACTAGTGCATTGTTGGTGGAGGTGTGACCTGATCTGATCATTCTGGAGAGCCATTGAGATCATGCCCAAAGGGCTATAAAAGTGCACATATTTTGATCCAGCAATACCGCTACTAGGTCTGTATCCCCAAGAGATGATAAAAAGGGGTAAGGGACCCACATGTACAAAAACATTTGTAGTAGCTCTTTTTGTAGTGGCCAAGAATTGGAAATTGGGGAATGGCTGAACAAGTTGTGGTATATGAATGTAATGGAATACTATTGTGCTATAAGAGAAGATTAGCAGACGGGTTTCAAAAAAACTAGAAATTCTCATGAACTGATGCTGAGTGAAGTGAGCAGACCCAAGAGAACATTGTACACAGTAACAGCAACATTGTGTGATGATCAACTTTGATAGAAGTAGTTCTACTCAGCAATACAAGTATCAAAAGACTCATGAGGGAAAATGCTATCCACATCCACAGAAAGAAGTCTGAAGTCTGAATACAGTAGGAAAGATAGCATTTTCACCTTTTGTGTTCTTTATTTCTTTGACATGGTTTTTCCTTTTGTTCTGATTCTTCTTTCATAACATGACTAATATAGAAATATGTTTAATATGATTGTACATCTATTTATGTCCTATATCAAATTGCTTACTCTCTGAGGTGAGGGGGGAGAAAAAAATTGAAATTCAAAATCTTATCAAAGTGAATGTTGAAAAGTATCCATACATGTAACTGGAAAAATAAAATACTATTAAGTAAGAAAAAAAGAGCTGTTACAGGATCTTGTTCAGGAGAATCTTCAAACCACTTCAGCTTGAGACTCTTCAGCTTAGCCAGATGGTGCCTTAGCTCTTTGGGAGGAGATGGTGGGTGGGATGAAAATTTCATGAGAACCTTGACAGTGAATAATGGGTTGAAGGGATTAGCAGATCTGGTGCCCCTGTGCAATTATCCCACCCTGATCTCTGATTTCTGATTTTTTTTTCTGATCCCACACAGATTTTTGTTTGTCCTGAGAAATTCAGAGGCAATGCCCCTTGAGTGGGAGCTTTCTCCTTCCCATTTCTTTAAAAACAAACAAAACAAATCACCACCAACACCAACAAAAAAAGTTGGTCTCTCACACCTGAAGTCCCTGAGCCCTGTTCTAAGTGATTCCTGAGACTGCTTGACTCCCTGGTTTGTATCATCTGGAATAAGATCTAATTGGGAGTGGAGGTCTAAGCTGGTAGTCTGTGGACCAGAGGACTGGTGATGACATACACTGAATTTGGGAGGAAAAAAACCTTAAAACTTAATTTAAAAAAATCCCATTGAAGAGTGATTGTGACCAATAGTCCTCATTTTGTAGAGGAGGAAACTGAAACATAGAGAGATGCAGTCACTTGCCCATAATCACAGGACTACTAAGTTTCTGAGGTGAGATTTGAAAGTAAGCCTTCCTTATTCCAAGTCCAGTACTGTATGAATTACACTGTGCTGACTCTCAGATGCAGTAGTAAACATTCCTAGGCAATCTCCTATCCACATGTTATCTAAGCCTGACCCTTCTTAGCTTCTGAGATGAAGTGAGGTCAGACACTTTCAAAGAGGTATAGCTACATGTGTAGGACACATTCAGGATGATGGGAACATGGATGAAAGACATCCACAAGAAAGTGACTTGAACCCAGGAGTGCAGAGGCCAGTGGATTAGCATCCAGCACCTTTACCTCTCTTCCATCTTGTACCAGTCTTCCTTGTCATGTGGAACATGTAAGATGGCATAGTTCATTCCTCCAAGTATTCCCTTCACTCAAGATCAGAGGATTTAGAATGTCCCACAATGGTGATGTCCTCCAAGCATTCATTTTTGCAAATGAAGACAGTGAAACCAGAGATATGTATTGAGAGGGCCAAGATCACATACGCAATCCCCCTTTCTTATGGTTTATAGGTTTCTGTTTATATTCAAAAGAAGTTCCTTTCCCTATGTATGCTCCCTGTGACCAAATAGGAGGGGTTGTAGCCAGGATTCTGTGACCCAGACCTAGCCCAGCTGTAGTTAATTCCACCACCACCAAATTACCTGGAATCAGGTAAGAATGGTGTGATGTGTGGGGTTCTTAGGAAAAAGTGGTCACATCTACTAGGCTTGTTGACACAGTGAATAGAATACCACCTCTGCAGCCGGGAAGGCCTGGATTCAAATCTAGCCTTAAACACTTGCCCTAGCTATTGGACGTTAGGGAAGTTACTTAATATCTGGCCCAGTTTCCTCATCTAAAGAATGGAAATGTCTTTTTTTTTTCAGTCAAAAACAAGGTTTATTAGAACATCTGTCATATTGGACAGTCTCTTAAGGAGTCTAAACATTAGTAAGCTATTGACTAGATTTTAAGAATCTGAGCAGTGGCTAGATTTCAAGTATCTAAGCATCTTAATGGAGACAAAATGGACCTTATATACAGAAAGAAAATGGGAGGGATCTAGGAGTGGCCAAGTAGTCTATGAAGTAGTAGAACTCCAGGGATCTGGACCACTTGGCCTAGGGAGAATGGAACCTAGATAGGATTAAGGGTGGGAAGTGGCCTGGGACCATAGGGAGGTCTGGGCTAGGTTAAGGGTAAGAGAATTGGGAGATTGGGTGTAGCCAATTTGAAAGGCCAATTGATAGGATTATAGCCTCAGGAAAATGCCAGTTTGCCCATGTAGGAAAGTCCAGGGTTTTTCCTATTTGTGGTCTAGATCCCATCCTTATCATTCCCACCTCAAACAAATGGGACCCAAATTCTTGTGGGGTCAGAGGTGAAGGTCTTCACTTCTGAAAATGCTTCCTGCTGACAAGGGGTGTAGAGCTGTCCCTGCCTGGAAGGGGTTCCAAAAAGGAGGTTGACTGGAACCAAGCTTAGGCTGCCTCCATGGAACAATGGGGGGACATTGGCTGGTACCTGGTATTTGCTACCAACTGTAGGTGAATGGCCTGTAGTCTGAAAGACACAAATCTGAGAGAAAAGACTGCAGGGCCCACATATAAAGCAGTGACAAGATTTAGGACCCAAATATGAGAAGATAAAACATCCTTAGCTCTGTTTGGATTTAGATAATTCAGTTTTCCAACCGTGTAATATCAAATCCACCTCATAGCTAGACTCAGGAATTGTAAGGTGGGTAACCTTCCTTTTCCAAGGAACATAATGGGGAGTTTGAGCCAGGAGGCTCCCATCTTGGACTGAGGCTAAAACTGTCCTCTCAGCTTTCCCCAGTGCTGACTTCCCGCCACTATCACATTCTCTGAGTAGCTTGTAACATTTCTCTCACATGGTGGATTCTTGATTATCAATGGATTATTATGATCCATGAAACAACTCAAAACAAAATCCTACGAGCTTTTGCCTCACACAGTGAGTTTCACTAATCACAACTTAGGAAAAACTTTTCCAGGATTTACATCTCAGACTTAAATTTGTCCTTGTGTAAAAAGCCAATCATTAGAGATTTCTAGATTCTTGCAAATTCTCAGCAAGCCATAACCCAAACAAGCTTTTTGGCTAGTTTACACATTAAAACAACAACCAACAATAGCTGAATTATTTTAGTGGTAACCGAATTATGAAAAGTTGCTTTACATAACTGATACAAAAAGTTCACCAATTTGAAACGTGAAAGAAACTCATTACCAATCAGGTGACTTCAATTTTGTTAAATTCATTTCCAAATTACTTTACACAGAGAATCAACATCTTATCATTAACAGTTAAAACTACAACTTTAAAGGAGTGTGCTTACCTAAGTTCAGAGGCCAGCTTCTTTACCTTGAGCAGGATGTGCTGAACCTGGGTAATGCTTCCAGGCAAAGGTTGCCCTAGGACCCAAGGCCATTGCCACTGGTGCCCACACTGTAGCTGCTGCCCCTCACCCTTCCTTTCTTTCCCTAGTAGGGGAGGGCAAAGTCAAAAGGCAGTGGGAAAGGGTGAAACTCTCTTCTCCTATGAGAGGGGTTAACAGATACCCTCTTGACTCAAGGGAAGGGAGTAGGAGAAAACAGTGACCAGGGTTGTAAGGAAGAGTTTCAAAACTCCTTAATGATCAATCACAAAACCTCCAGAATCTGCCAAGATATTTTTAGCTATTCTAACTTTAGGGAAGGGAG